ATGTACAAGTCTGGTTTAATTTCAGTTATAAAAAACATAATAAAACTCAAAACTAACGATTGAAAACGTACTGTTGATGGGCAGAAAAAAAAATTTCACAAGGGGCTTTATTTTTTAAAGGGACACTTTTTGGATTAATTTTTTGATACTGTCAAGTATTTGTACTATAAATTAGTAAAAAAACAAACCTAAAAAATATAACGCCAAATTTTGACCCTAGATATTAAATTCGTTTTTTTTTTTCAAAACAAGTGGGTTTAGAATTTTTAAAGTATTTTAAATTTATAATGGTTATTATAACCCCAAAGAAATAAAAATCTATTTGAAAGTTAAAGTAGAAAACTAGCTTTGGGCCCTGATGGCAAACCTTTTGAAATACCTTCAAAAACCCAAGCACCAGCTTAAAAGTTAACTCATTATGATTTTAGAAATTTCGTTGGCACAAAATTTGTCGACATGGGAAAAATTAAGGTAGTTTTTTTCACTTTTGATAATTAATTTATCGTAAATGAGGAATTACGTAAATGAGGAATAGATGGTCAATTTTTCACGGGTTCTGAAAGATAATCTTTATGCTATATTACACGCTTAACTATGAACATAGTCTTATTTTTAAAAACTTCGAGAGCATCAATAGATTTACCGTTCGGGGGAAAAAACAAACCTACGGCGATTATATACCATTGTTATATTTTATACAGTAAACGGTGCTTGATACAATTTTTTTTGTTTATTCTTGATGAACAATAGGTGCATTTTTTTTTAGATAATTTGATCATTATTTGCATGGCAAAAATTCCCCAAGCACCGAAGTTTCGATATAGAAAACGATATTGCCTTTGAACATTAATCACAGTTTTAATCCCATTAAAGAAGCCCCAAACTAACGAAGAATACTACATTTTGTCAATTTAATCAATTCTTTCTTTTAACCCAAGCTCTAAAATAACAAATAATGAAAATTTCAAAATACCTCGGAGGAATTCGATGACGGCACTTGAAGAATTTTTTCATTCCAATCTAATTGCTTTAATCTTTTTTTCCTGTGTTTCCGTAGTTTTTTTTTTATTTTAATTTCTTCGATTGGAAATGGCTCGAAAAGATCAAAGGGTCAATGTTGATTTAAAAGAGTCACTTTGTATCTTATAAAATTCAAAGACTAGGTTAAGGGTATTTTAAAATCAATTTTCTTGTTTAATTTATCATTTGCTCATTTGCAATTGCATGCACCACATTAAATTGTGAAGTCCTAATAATAGATTCCCATAATAATCTAATCGAAAAAAAATAAGTAAATCACAAAATTTCTAACATTAATCACTTAAATAATTCCCTTTTTAATCTTTTCTTGTAATTATAAAGTATTAATGTATCGTAAACAAAAACAATTTTTTCGAAATATTAAATTAAAAGTATAAAAAGGGCAAGATAAAATTTAAACTGGACCAGTATATACCGTTGCAATGGGCCCCCAGACCCTTTGGATTTTATTGGCTTGTGATTTTTTTAAGACCTCTTTTAAGAAGTTTTTGGGTTTGTTTCTTAGAACTTTCCCTCTAACTGTCGAAAAAATAAAATTTACGAACCTTAAAACCTATTTGGGAATCAAAGTTTAAGTTGATACCTTTCAATTCTCATCAACTATTTTTCATCAAAATTCAATATTGTTTTTGGCAAAACGAAATTTGGAATAAGAAAATTAAAAGTGACCCAATTTTCAGTTCTAACAACCCCAAATGTTCATTTTTTTCCAACAGGGGTTAAAATTTAATTTTAACCCCCTTTAAAAAAGGGAAACAAAAAAGGCTTAATTTACAGAAAAAAAATTTTCGAAATTTTAAATTATCATATTCGCAATTTTTGGGGGATAGCCCCCTCAGCTTATTATTTCCTTTAACTTTAAGCCCATTTTTAAATATTTGTATTTAGGGGCCCAAATTTTAAAATTTCAAATAAAATTTTTGAAGCGGGGAAAGTAACCCACTTTTTCAAATAGAAGCGAACAAAAACCCCTTTTGCTTAAAAAGGAAAAAACCCCCTCCCCACATTATTTGGGGAATCAAAAAAATTTCCCAGCGATTCTATTTAATAGCTTTTTTTTGGGAAGGGCCAAATTTTGGCAAATAATGTTACGTCCCCTTATTTTCAAGAAAAAAGGGGGTTGATCGTTTGTTTCCCTTTTCAGGTTTTGGGGTAATTTTAAAAACTAATTTTTTTTCTCTTTTTTTCCCTTTTTTTCTTTTTAATAAGAAATGGAAAAAATCACAAATTTTTTTTTTAAAATAAATGAAAAATATTTAGTAAACTTAAAAATTCATTTTCCCCGTTTTCAAAATTTTGAAGGGGAATTTTTTGATAATTAAAAAATTTATATAGGGATGAAACGGCGATTGGGAGATGTAGGGTTTCGCTAATGTTTAACAAAAAAATCAAAAGGAAAAAAATTACCCCGGGGGAAAAGGCTTTGGCTTTTTTGTGATAAAGGGAAAGTTTTTTTCACACTCTTAAATTCAGAAATGGCGGGGGGCAAAACAATGTAAAACCACTGGCCATTTCAAAAAAAAGATAACCCAAGGGAAAAAATGTTGCCTCCTTTAAATCTTTCCCCGGCCTTTAAAAATTCTTTTCTTCAAAGAGGGCCCCAAAAATATAAACCACAAGGTTTTGAAAAAACCCTAAAAACGCCTTTTCCCGATCTAGGAAACCAAATTGAAAGTTAAATTAACAATTTCCGTGTCAAAACCCATATATTTCCTTAAAAATTTTTCTTCAAAAAGTTCTAAAAATGTTCAACAAGGAAATTTGGGCAGAAACCCTTTTCCCGGGCTGCTTGAAAAACTAAAGGTCAATAAAAACCCTTACAAAAAATTTACAGCAATTTGTGCCCAAAAATTATCATCCTAAAAAACCTTTTTGGGGCTTTTTTAAAATATGGCAAAATTTTTTTCAAATAGGGAAATTGAAAAATCATTGGGGCCCGCTTTTTTTCGCTCAAGGTTTAACCAAATTGAAGGAAAAAAAATAAAATTTTGTGCTCACCCAAAAAACATTAATTTTTTTTTTAATTTTTATAAAACTTTTAAAAATTTGGGTTTTTAAACCTTTTGGTTTTTTAAAAAAAGGTTTTTATATTGAAAAACAAAACCTTTAATAGATTTACTTTAAACTTGGAGCAAATGGTATCCATCATAATTTTACAATAATACTGGTTTGTTATTTATTTAATGATACAATTAACACCTACCACACCACTAAAAAACACAAAATCAAAACTTTTATCAGTTAAAGCATTAAAACATTTAACTCCAATACAATGTAAACAGAATCATAAGTATTTCTTTAACAAATACAGCTATAAGAGGAAACATGGTTCCCGTTAATTATAAAACTGAAATTTCCTTATGTATGAACGAACCATACATTAAAAGTTTTTTTATGACCACTTTTGGTATTATAAAAGAGATTATCCGGTATAAACTTTTAAATCTTATAGTTTAGTATCTGGAAAACAGACGCGTTACACTTTTTGAAAACCGTTTATAATTTTTCCCTTTATCTTATTTTGCCTTTAAATAACGTGGGCGTAAAATCTAATTAAATTGCTGGTATATTGTTTAAATATCCAATGACCTTTTCAGAAAAGCTAAAATTTTTCCAAACCTTTTCGCTTTTTTTTCCCGGGAGAAAAATCTCCCAAGGGTAATGGATTTTTCGCCCCCTTTTATGTTTTTTTTTTTTTTTTAAATCGTTTTTGTTTTTATTTCTTTGAAAATTCCCCCCCTCCATAATCATTAAAATTTGGTATAAACAACCCCTCCCCTGGACACCCAGAAAGGGCTACACCACTATCACCAGGGGGAAGAATTTTTTCCTCCTACGTTTCCCCCAAACCCTGAAAAATTCTTCCATAAAAAAAAAAATCCATTTTTTTTGTTATAACCGGGCACGTTATTTTCCTTTCCGGGTTTTTAATTTAGCCCCCCAAATTTTCTTTCCGCCAACTAAATTTTTTAGATTAAAAGAACTTTCCCAAAAATTTTTGTTTCCAACGGGCTTTTTTAAAACCTTTGAAACTTTTAACTTTTTTTATAAAAAAGCCGCTGCGCTTACAATTTTTCCCCCTTTCCAACAAAACATGCCCTAATTTTCCAAAAACGCTTTTTAATTTCACCGCCTCCCTTTAAAACTTTTTTTGTGTTGATTATTTTGCGGGCCCACAAATGTTGGAGAATAGCCCATACATACATCCCCTGGGTTTTTTTTTTGGGTTTTTTTTGGGAAAAGCAGCCAAAATTTCCTTTGTTGAGGGAAACCCCAACACAAATGCTTTTCACCGGGTTTAAAAAATTTTTTTCCAGACAGGGGAACTTTTTTCCGTACCATAGATTTAAAGGTCAAAAAAAATTTGGGACAAAAATTATTTTTGGTTTTTCCCCCGAAAAAAATTTTGCCCAAATTTTCACAGCTTTTTTAATTTTTGCTTTACGCCCAAACCAACACCAAAATCCCTTCAATTTTGGGGAAAGGGGCCTTTCAATACTCACAAGGGGAAAAAACAAATTTTTTTAATAAACTATAATTTTCTTGTATCAATAAACATGTACACAATGTATTCGCTACGTTGGACAATACGAATGTTAGATAGATGTCAAAATAATTTAAGAATGACTTTTTCATGCCTCCAGAATGGAACCAAAAGTATTTTAAGATATTTAAGAGAGTAAAAATTTCTTTTGAAGTAACTTTTTCCCTGAATATTGTGAAATAAATTAGCTTTTTTGTATTTTGAACACTCTTAAATAAATTTACTTAATGGATTGTAAGTGGTGTAATATATCAAGAGACATTACGTGCAACTAAATGCTGCCATGTTTGTTTACTTTCGAAATAATCCTGTTATTGTACTAGAAAAAAAAAAATTGTTAGGTTTTCAAAGAAACAATATTACTCTTTAAGTCCAAGGTCACTTCTGTATTTTGGAATGTTCAAATATCGTCAATACTGACGTCACTCATATTAAGAGTCCTATAATCTCTTCAAAAAGACAATCTTTAGTTTCCGTCTTAAAGAGTTGAAAGCATATCTTTTTTAAGAAAGATAATTACATTTGTCTCATTGGTCTGCTCGTCATCTAAAAGGGTAATTACAAAGATTTAGAGTCGATATACAATATATGATAAAGGTGTTTATACATTTAAATATTTAGACGATACATCAGTATTCTGAAAAAGCTGCTAATAAACGTGTTTGATGACTACTTATTTAACACGTTTTATTTCTATTACTTGCCTGTTATTGGTTTTTCTTCATACACATCCCTATTAGTTGCGTTTTTGTCGGAAAGGTTACGTTCAATATCCCCTCCTAATGCACTACAAACTGGCTTGAGACTTTGAAAAAGCCATTTTTCTAAGACTGAATCTATCTGTTTCCATGCGTTATTTTTTTGAATGGCATATGTGTTTTGGTATCTTTTAGCTTTTTCTTCCAAGTCAGTTTCGCATAGGATAAATGACATGGTTGTCCTGTGTCTTATTGCTGTCAAAATGTGATGATAGTTCTCAGGTGTTATGAAGCAAGAGACAGACGGTTGATCTTTAGATTGAACAAATTGTTCAAGGGAGCCACCATCTCTAATCTCTCCTTTCTTAGTTATTTCTTGAAGAAAATCATCGATCATTTTGTCATTTTCAGGGCTGGTACATATATAAAACAGAATATATCTGCCATCGTGCCCGATGCAGTTTGACTGAAGAAAAACTTTATACCGCATCACAACATCCAACAGATTGCCTAATGCATACTCATACCTTGGAAACTCACTCGCCTGAACTTTTATCTCTTTTATGCGAATATCCTGCAAATTTATAAAATAATTAAATCAATGATTTTATATGCCGACCAATCCAAATCAATTGATGCTCTAGATGTAAACACAAAAGTGTTGTTAAATGCAAAGATGATAAAGTTACTTCATTACAAAATATTTGTGTCGTTGACATTCTTCAGCTGCAATTTATTGTTGAAATTAAACTTACTGAAAATTCCTCTTTCTTCTTCGTGTGTTCTGAAAAGATAAAATGTCGGCAAAACAATGATAGAAATTAAATATGGCTTAGTCATTTATTTATTCATGTTGTAAAGAAGTTGTAGAATATATTTTAACATATATCTAACGTTACATAGCAGTGTATACTTACAGACTGTTGAAGTTATACAATTATTCTACTAGTACTGAGGCGCTATCTAAAACAAGTGTTGCAAGAAAAATAAGCAGGCATATTACATATATTTAATGAAATGATATTCATTGAAAATCTGTTAGTGTTTGATATTTTGACATAGAATTACTCCAGCATTTCAAAAACGGTTGAGATAATTATGATTCGATTTTCGTTTCCATAATACCTTTACTCTCTTCCTCATTTTCGTAATCTGTCCGCCTTTTATTTGGTTCAGTAGGATCTTGGTATATTTCAATGGCACCATCAATGTCTTTGACCAATTCTCCTGAAAGCTCCCCATTATGATAAATTTTGATCCAAGGCCAGCCTTTAATTTGTAATACTGTACATTATTTTACATAGATTTTATTTAATTTAACAATTCTTCTCTCTAAAATCAATATGCTAAGTATGATGACTGGCTTAAAAGATTTCCTCTCCGAATAAGTATATTTTATATCATAACCCACGTACATAAAATGCGACAACATAGTTTATAAGTAAAATATAGATCTAGGTGAAACATAAACTTTGTTTTGTTTTCTTTTAAACAGGTAAGTACTATAACAAACATCAACAGACATTTTGTAATATCTATAAAAAAACTGATGTGCTGGAATTATGTTACTGACGTACTAAATAGTAAAATGTATATACATTGTGATAACACGTTTTGTTTTAAGGAAATATTATAAGTTTGATGACCGTTTACAACCTTCTTCTATTGCATCTCCGATATTGACTAAAACCTTGAGTCCAACTGTGTTACCATCAGAGTTTCTAATTTTTTCTGCACAGGATCTTAATGTTTCCATCACTTTTTTGCATGTCAGGACATTAATACCTTGAATACAACCTAGCAAATAAAATTTTATAACATGCACAATAATATTTATTTCACTTAAGTATTATCTGTATGTAAGAACATGTCTTTGTAAATATTGAAAATAAATTCAAAACCTTTTTGAGGAAATTATATATCTTTGATTATGGTTAGTGTAAAAGCAATTGATAAACAATATATAATAATTAACCTTTTTTTAGAATAGCATGTGTATATGAAAAGGATATGAGTCATGAGCTGGAAATTATATACAAAAAAACACACGAAAGATATATAAAGTAAGGTGCTACACCATAGACTCTTTCGATATCTTGACTACAATCAATACATTTAATATACCAGATGTTTTTGCTTGAATTTCTGTTGTACACACGGATGCAGATAATAGTATACCAAAAACGTCTGTTTTTTTATCACAGAGTCTCTTTGCGTAATATTGGTCCACACCCTGTGCTTCAATCATAGCTTTAAACTTGACAATTGCCGAATTATCTGATTTATCGTCACTTAAAGTGTCATCTATCATTTCATACGCTTGCTCTAAATTTAACGCCTTTTTGAGACTGACCAACAGTTGCCCCCCTGTGAATACAAAATAGTCAACTTGGAATTAATAATCAAACATGTTTATTTATTACTATTTAGAACACTATTTTTGTTCAAACGATATAGTTTTAACTCAGTTTTAAAAAGGATGACATTTCAAAAGAATGTTTCTATTTCGGAAATGAATATTTCTTTTAATATCATGGCTCTTTCCAAACAAATTAATTCGATAGTGACCGTAACTTTGTATAAGTGGTTTTATATACAACACTTATTGTAGTCCATATGTGATTTGTTTTTGTTTCTTAAAACATTGTTGCAATAGTTTTCAGCCTATATTCATGTATTTATTATCTATACCTAAATATTTAACCAATTCCGTCAGATCTTTTGGTCCTTTTCCTTGAAGACATTGTATAGATTCAGCTACCTCAAGAGCGTTTCCAAAGGTTTTACCAAGAGGCGGTGAGCTCAAGTCAGTTAACAAGGTAATTGTTTTTATCTGTAAACTGTTTGTTGCTTTTACCTAAAGTATACATTTCAAGGATATGCCTAAATTATACATTTCAAGGATATGATACATTTCAAAAAATAAATATTCAAATCATTACAATTAATCGAAATTAGTTACAGTTTCCCTAGAAATGGGAAAGTACCTATATGTACTAATTACAAATGACTGAATACTTATATCTTATTTTGATGATTAGCATTTTCGTTTTTACCATTTTTATGACTTGCCCGTCTTCGTAGAACGTCCCTGTTTCACATCCCAGATCAAAACCCACTGAATCTTGTGACTCTACAGCCTTTTTTGAGATAACGGATCCTGCAATAAGTTAATGGACATATCCTTTCTTTTCACATGTTAAACAATTTATTTCATTTTATGCTCTTTCAAATATAAAATGCACGTAATATGTGTGTTTTGTATTTCCAATTTTGTAACTAATTAAATTTAAATAAAAGTTAATGCAATTTATGACCTCATCGTGTTTTCATAAGACATACAAGAAGTTACTATAAACTTAAGATAATGTATAAATTGCTAGAACATAAAATCAAACCTGTTATCAGACAATGCTCATGTTCTGTTGTAGTATCGTTACGTACAGCGTACATAATTCGATCAGCAGGTATAAGTTGACTTGTTTGACTTACAATACAACATCCAACATCATTCAATATCTGGCGCATGTCTGTATCTTCCTGCATAATGTGAAAGCCAGGGATAGATTCAAGTCTATCCAATGCTCCTCCAGTGTGTTGTTGAGCCATGTCTGATATTATTGGTACCTAAAACATTTATAAACCATATAGTCGCTCTTACGTTTCAATATCGTTTTTATATGGCTAATTATTCGAAGTGACTTCAATTATTTAATTCATCTGAGCAATAAATGAGTCAATGATACTAATGCTTTCATACTAAATCTTAAGAATATACGAGTCAAAAGATGCTAAAGCTTGCATACAACATTGGCGATTTAAATCTGTTCTAAATACCACTGTTTATAACGTTGTGTAGCGAGGACTGTCCGTGCAGTGTATATAAAAACAGTAAATAAACAGAGGTTATATGACTTTTTTTGTACTTTCGTACTATTTCTGTGATTTAAAACAGTGGCTTCAAAGTGCATAGATATATAAGAGACTGCTTTTTCCTTTGGTATCGTCATATATTTCTGAACCTCATCATAATGCCAAGAAAAATATATACATCGTTTCACAATATGATATAACTGAACATTATGTAACAAACCTATGATAAGAAAGATAAATGAGTTTGGTGACTAAGCTTTACGCCGGACAGCCCTTAACATGCATACCTTTAGTCCGCAAGCTGCTAGTACAGGCGCAAGAACTAAGCTGACCTTGTCACCAACACCATCGGTGCTATGCTTTTCGAAAACTATCCAATCCGCAGGCCATCGCAGGGTAATCCCCGAATTTATCATTGCTCTTGTTAGATGGACAGTCTCTTCATCGTCAAGCCTTTTGTTATATATCACCTTTAACATGTCACCTAAATACGCATAAAAAAGAATATTCATTAATTAAAAGTGGAATTATGCTCATTTCAGTGTAAATTGCAAATAGAAAGATACTAGTAAATGTCAAAAAAACTCTGCACTTTCCAATTTTTGTTTCAATCTTATATATGTACATTGTATTTTTCTATGCAAATTTAAAAAATATCCAACATGACCCGATGAAGTTTCTATAACTAGCATTTGTTATGAATGGATAACACCAATATGATAAAAAGAGTCGAACAGTCTTATAATTTTTAGGTAGTGTTATTTATGTTTTTCTAGCCAGTCCACATTATAAAGTATCGGCCAGACACCATGATTATATAAGTAAATCTTTTGCAATATAAAGCTTATTCTGTTCAACTTAACAGCGAAAAAAATAGCATAATATCACTTTAATATTAAGATCTGCTGTGTTGTTAAAGATCAGTTTAGAGAAAATATCAGGAATAACCACCTCAAAGAACCAGATCAAAAAGCAATTCAATGACATTTTGATCAGAGTATTTTTTAAAGATATATTGTTTTAATATGTTGTTTTGTTTTGTTATGCCCCCATTCTAGGGAGGGGAGCAATTAGACTTGCCCTTGTCCGTCCGTACGGGCGTGCGTGTGTGCGTGCGTTCTCATGTTGTGCCACATGTAGCTCTTAAAGTGCTTGAGCTATAGCCAAAATACATTACAAATATTTTGATCAGTATTTGTAGTGGTACACCAGGAGTTTTACGTGTGGATTAATTCAGCTTTGTTAGGGAAATTGTCCATGCATAAATAGTATAAATTGCAATTTTCAACTTATGTCGCGCGTAACCCAGAACGTATCTGACCTGAGTCCTGAAATTTTGCAAAACATGTTGGTCAGCGTGTGAAGCTCACTTTGCTCAGAATTAGTTGGAAAAATGAACACTAAAGTAGAAAATATCATGAAACACAGAACACACATTAATCTGAGGGCATAAATTGCAGACAGAAAAGTTAAAAATAAAAGAGTATAAATATGTATTTCACAATCAGATTGTTCATTTAGTATATGTACATACCTATTTCTTCTCTCTTAATCCTCTTTGCCGGCGGGCCATATTGCTCTAAACAGTTCACATTGTTATCAGTTTCCTTGGTAATTACGTCTTCGTCTGCTGTCAGTTTCTGACAGCTTATGACTGGAATTATAACCGTTTGTTATATATATTGTTAAATATGTCAAGATACCAGGAATAAGAAATCCATCATGATCTTATAACGTCTATTTAGTCTTCCAATTCATCGAATGTTTGAAAACAATAGTTCAGTGCTAAAAGGCAATGCCAGTATATACCAATACATTCAATAATTCGGAGATTGAGTCTAATGACCATTTGCTTCTCACTGCTGATTCAGAAATCCTATGGGTAATCTGACACTTGCTGAGAAATTGGTACAATTGGAAATCCGTCTAGTTGGACTGAACGCCAACACATGGCAAAATTGCATTTAAATGGCGTACAAATATTAACGAACAAAACAATTCATCAGCGGACATGAAATTGTTAAACAATTAAGAATTTAATTAGATAAAATATCAGGTATTGGTGAAGTTTGGGCATCTTTTGCAAAAATTACGTATTCATCCGTTATTCGTGGATTTTATTCTTGACAGCTATATCTCAGTTAAAACTTAAAAGAAATTTAAAATATTGAAACCATATCTGTCGCAAAGCTTTTATGTATGTAATAAAAGGATAATTATAAATAAAAGCGTTTTTATGCCATTTGCTTTGCTACTCACAGCGTGGACAAATTGCTATCCTGCACGACAATCAATTTCCAACGCTGAATGAAATTTTAATTTACAGTCCTTAAGTTTTTACGTAGCAGGATGTAAAACAATGTTGGCTTTGGGTTACTATTTATACTCTATTTTAACCAGAATTGAGTTTATCTTAGGAAATCCCATTTTTAAATAATTTTACATGTACTATTATATTTTACAAACGTTTTTTGTAATAATTGAAACTTACAGTGGTGCTCTCGTAACGTGGTTTTATGGGAGGCCTTAAAATATTATCTCTAACTGTAGAGGTTTGAATGGTATAAAAAAGCGGAAAGACGTATTTCGTTTTCTAAAAGAAAATAAATCTGATATTTACTGTTTGCAAGACACTCACTTTACTTTAGACACGCAAAAATAGCTACACCTCTGGAATTGGATGTTCCATAGCTAAAGTAACATTCACAGTTCCATTCAGCGTATATAGATTTTTGCATGTCTAAAGTAAAGTTTAAATACCATTTGTCTGATTACAATGCGAATTCGATTTTGTACAAGTTTGGGGGATATTCTTTGCACAGTATAAAGCCCAAAGCCCTAACTCAAGCAATAGGCCCTAGAGATTTCCGCGTGGCATGTTCATTTTTTGTTTCGGCGATTTGTTCTTTCTCTATATAAATTGTATAAATAACACCATTTTCCTTAGCCAACCGTTTCAAAACCATTTTTCTGATTCTTATGCGGATTCGATTTTGTACATGTTTGGAGGGTCTTCTTTGCACAATAAAAGGCCCAAAGCGCTACCCCAAGAAATATGTCCGGGAGATTTCCGCGTGGCATGGTCATTTTTTGGACTGTCGATTTGCTTTTTTCTCTCTATAACCGTAAATTGGCAGTAAAAGCAACATCTTTGAGACAACATCCTTCTAAAACTGATTTACATTATTTCGATGCTTTATAAAAATGAAAGTATGTTTAGTGTGACAAATAAACGTACTTAAGGGAACTTTCTTATAGGATTTGAGGTCATGCACAGTCAATTATTATAAAATGAACGCTATAGGTACTCAATTTCTTGAGCCAATCATTTCAGCACCATCTGTCTGATTCCAACGCGGATTCGATTTTGTACAAGTTTGGAGGGTCTTCTTTGCACAATATAAAGCCGCGAGCCCTAACCCAAGAAATATGTCCGTGAGATTTACGCATGGCATTGTCTTTTTTTGGACCTGCGATTTGTTCTTTCTCTATATAAATTGTATAAATTTTCGGAAAATACATCATATTCCAGAGCCAACCGTTTAAAGACCATTTGTCTGATTCCAATGCGGATTCGATTTTGTATAAATTTGGAGGGTCTTCTTTAAACAGCATTAAGCCCAAAGCCCTAACCCAAGAAATATGTCCGTGAGATTTCCGCATGGCATGGTCTTTTTTTGGACTGGCGATTTGTTCTTTATATAAATTGTATAAATTTTCGGAAAATACCCCATATTCCAGAGCCAACCGCTTAAAGACCATTTGTCTGATTCAAATGCGGATTCGATTTTGTACAAATTTGTAGCTATTTTCTTTGGAAAAAAAATTGAATACAAAATTAAGAACACAATTATTGATAAGAATGGAAACTTCATTATTTTAGATAAGACCATTTATGATAAAAACCTAACACTTGTAAGCATTTATGGTCCAAATTCTGATCAACCGCAGATGCTTCGGTGGGATAAAAATGAAAAAAATGAAATAAAATTTCAAGTAAACAGTAAATACTGATCTAGTTAGGTTTATTGTATAAATCCATCATCACTGACACCTTAATTCAAGTAAGAATGTTGACAAAAGAGTTTACATAACGGATTTTTCTTCTTTCGGATAATCTTCTACGATACTAACGCAGTAGCCAATATAAATAGGAAAAGATAATTCATTTAACGCGGTCACGTGTCACAACAGTGGTCCGGGAAAATCCCGGTATCCGGTATGCCTGGGATCGTTTATCAATTTTCGTTATTGAGAAGGCCCCCATCACATTTCAAGCTAAAGGTTAAATCGATAAATTGGTCATTAAATATATGACATAATTAATCAATAATAATTTTTAGGGCCATGAATTACTACAAATATAAAAACAAAAGCAATTATTGGTATCCCTATTTGTTTGATAAAGTCCCGGATTCCGTGCGTTCCAGAGCACAGGTCGCGATATTGTCCTGTACGATCACGTGATACAAGAAAAAAACCCGGATGAAAGAATTCCGTGGAATAATAAAAGAAGGTATTTCCCGTTGGTGGAATAGCGAACCGTTTGTTTTCAGTGCAATAATGTTAAAATATGAACATTTTGAAGTGTCATTTCGTTTTCTTTCAAATATATAATGTTTTCGAGGGGGGGTTTTGAAATATTAGCAAGACGCAGTTTTTTCTATCTTCTGGAGGTCAGCTGCTTTAATGATACATTATATGCTTTTATTTGGAATGGAACTTCAAAAATTATAAAAATATGTTAGTTAAAGATTACATGGAAGGGGGTTTAAGAATGGTAAATATAAATGCTTTTATGAATGCGTTAAAACTTACATGGATAAGAAGAATTATTTCAAGTGATGGTTGTTGGAGTATTTTAACACAGGGGATTGATGTACAGAAATTAGTCACGTGTGGGAAGCATTATGTCGAGAAAATCTCAAAATCTATTAAAAACACACTTTAAATGCATTTTCATTGTTTATTGGGCATCAGAAATTTGATAAAGAAGACATTTGTAACTTATCTTTATTTTACAATCAGAACATTACTATTGGCAATAAAGTATTTTTTGGAAATCTTGGTATGATAAGGGAATTCGTTGTATTAATGATATCTTACAAGACAATGGCCAGTTTTATACACCAGAAGAATGAGGCAAGATCTACAATATAAATATCAATCATCTTTTATATAGCAGTTACAAACTTTTTTCAAAATGTCTGCTAAAACTTTAAAGAGGGAAAAATTCCCAACAATTCCAATACACATTAAAGGGATAATTAAAGACCAAAAATGCTCAAAATATATGTATGATTCGCTTAATGTCAATTTCAGCAAGCCCGTTTTTTATGTCAAATGGTCTAAAAACTATACCTCCCAAATGATGATAAATACTGGAAGAATATATATAATTTACCATTCAAATTGACAAAAGATACTTATTTACAATGGTTTCAAGTAAGACTTATCCGTAGGATTTTGGGTACAAATAATCTTTTGTTCAAAATGAAATATATTAACAGTCCCTAATGTAGCCTTTGTAATCTTCATGATGAAACTATAGAACATATCTTTTGGGAATGCATTCACAGCAATAAATTAATACACGAAATTTGTATAGATAAACTAAACATGCCAAACTTGAATAAAGAAACTATGCTTTTTTGTTACACTAAAGGAAACAATACAATACAAATATTGTAAACAATTTAGTTCTTTTATATGACAAAATGTATATTTTTAAATGTAAAACTAATAAAATAATGCTATCTTTTGCTGGTGCTATAAAGTATATTTCATATGTTCTAAAGGTAAATGAAGAAAAAGCTATCAAATGTGGAAATCTTTACCAATTTAAAAAAGATTGGCATACTATTTTAAATATATGTCATTAATCATAATATAATAGAGACCTATCCATATTGTTTGTTCCAATCTGATAATGATTATTGTGAATCATCAAAATACTTGTTCGTATGTTGATGTTAGGAGCGACCTTTGTCTTTTCAGTTTTCATTCCTAGCTTTGAGCATACATAGAAGAATAAATTCATGTTTGTAGTATTTTCGAATTCGTCTTTGATGTTTTGTTGTGTTATATTGTTGTTTTCTTTTGTAAATAATCATCTTTTTTCGTATGTCTATAAATTCTATCGTCAAGCCTCCTAGTTAACCCTATTAGTATCATTAGTTTGTGTATTACTCATAAATATAGAAAAAAGTAATTTTTTTGCCGTAAATTACTTTATGTAAATACTATGTTAACTTTTCATGTTTTAACACATTATTGTAAAACTGTTAAGGGATGGACCTCCGACCCTTAAATAGTCATGCGACGGACGGAGGCAATAAATGGGGTCACCTTCGGGGCCTGAAGGAAAAAAAAGATCATGTAAGGTATATTTATCACTATAAAATAAAGTGTAAATGATTGTTCTAAAATAAAGTTTACAGGAATGAGAATAGTTCTTTAATAATTTTATAAATTCAAACGGAAAACAAGTAAAAAGGACACTTTAAAAAGAAGTTGTTCTTCTTTGAAAAATCATCAATATCAATATGCTTTTATTTCATATCAATGTTTACAAAATAGGCTTTTTCTTAATAGCTACAAGAAATAATTATGATGCCATGTTATGCAAGCATTTCTTAAATTTCTTTTTGTATTGAAAACTTGAAAAAACAACATTCTTTTGCATGTTTAACAGTTATACTTCGACCGAGTATCTTTTTAAAAGATAATTCTTGTAACTAAAATTTGATGAAGGTAATTTACTATGATATGTGTCTCTTTCTTTAATCTTTCACAACTTAAGTCATATCTACAGATTTGAAATATAACGTTTTTTGTTTTTTTTGTTTTTTGTTTGTTTTTTTTTTGGGGGGGGGGGTGTAGAACAATTTTTAAACAATAAGATAGACTTTCGAAAGTCTGTAAGAACATCTAAAACGCCATACTAAAAACACAACATGAAAGATTCTGGTCATCACTGTGACACAGTCCGGTCAAAATAAATAACGGAATAAAGTGAAATATCAAGCTTCTTTATATTTGGGCAGGAAAGAAAATATAGAAAGTTATGAATAATTTTACCAAAACTTATGTTGTCAGTTGTGTGTAAAAGATCTAGAAACAAAATGATTCTTTATACTTACCTAAATTATACGACATATTTATTTTATTAGAACTTTGAAATGGCTTTCATATAAATTTAAAGTGGCGGGTTTTCGCACGAAACTTAGCGAAAAAGAAATAACGCTTATTGATAAGGGTGTTGGTTTAGTTAATGATAGAATTCATTTCCAATACTGAAAACTGTTTTTGAGGTATAACAAGGATTGACTTAGCCCTAAATATATATATAAATATATATAAAAGCATATTTCACTTTAAAGTGACATTATGTCCACCCAAGGGTAGATACTTAGTGAACACGCGAAAATTAAAATAAGTCTATACCTTGCCATAATATATTAATTCCTTTCAATTTTATAATATATTTCCCATAAACGATAAAAAAAATCAAGAAGGCAAGAATTGATATGTAAATATCCACCGAAGGTTTACTTGTAACGTTCATTTTATAAAATTTTATGTTTTTGGCAGATATATATCTTATACTATACATTTCTTAGTATCAATTGTTGGCCAGTCACCGTTATAACAGTCAGTCTATTGAAATATATTGTCATTTCAGCTCAGCTTCACAATGAAAACATTAGCATGATTCACTTTAAAAAGTTGACAATAATCGACTTAACAATTTTGGAATAAAGTTATATACGTGAAACAAATATATCTGAAACTGGTTTAAATGAAAATCTTCGCTGTTTTTAACAACTTTTGTTTTATAAGCAAGTTCAATTATTAGTAGGTAACATTATAAGTAATTCTTATCAATTAACAACTTCCTAAGTTGTAGCTAATCACTTTATTACACTAATACACATATTTTAGCATTTGATGAAAGAAGTAATATACAAACCTAGTTCGTCTTTCTGTTTTGATACCTCGGTAGCATTATCAGCACCCTGATCCTTGTTTCCTTTGATTTGTTCTTTCTTTCTAGGCGTATTGTTCTGTTTTACCTTTCCGGTAGGCTTATGAATGTCACTTCTTTGATATAAAATAAATCTCTCCATTTAACCGAATGCTCTCAGAAGTAAAATGTCTTTTATGATTTAATTATTCTCAAAATAAATCAAGATTTGCATATGATAAGGAAAACGTATAACATACTACAAAAACAAAATGATCGACGTCGTTAAAATCCATGGAATGTTTGTCAATATTATCATTAGTTTAAACAGAACATAATATAGCGATTATGGGCGTATCTATTTAAAGTTACTTCTCGAAGACATATTGACCAATAAGTGCTTACTATACAGCGGTGATCGCGAAGGATATACCTTTAAACATAAGCGTCAGATTATTGTAACGCAGTATTCATAGTTGGAAATCTTCCTTGACACTTGATGTCAGGTTGTATTAGAGCGAAATCGTATACCCATCAATGAAGATGTGTTTGCTTGATACCACAGTTACCACACTGTTTGTCAGGAATAAACATTAATCAATTTTAGGGTCTTTTTACTATAGTAGTTAGGAAAGAATAAAACATTTTTATTTATTTAAAATATGCATTTATTAATGCTATTCTCTGATGGTTCTCATGGTTACGAAATCTATCAAAATTTGTATTGAGAAATTGTTTGGCAGGTCACGGTTTGTAGTAGTTCTGAAGAATCTTTTTTACAAATCCCTTTTGTCCTAGGTCCAGAACTCACAGCAGAGTTAAGGAATGAACATCCAATCGCATTACCTCCACGTTTTGAAAAGTATTCTCATAGGCTAGAACTACTGTTAACTACATATGATGGCTGATTTGTGCCATTCGTGTTTTCGCCCCGCGACCCCGCCAAGCGAAAAGTCGAGAATTAACAAGTTAAAATGGCGGGGGCGCGGAGCGAAAAGTCGCTTATAAGCGAGGGCGCGGGGCGAAATTAAATCAATAAAACTTCGCCCCGAGGGGGCGCGGAGCGAGATTTAAGAAATAAAATGGCGTGGTCGCGGAGCTTGACCGCACTTATAAGCGGGGGCGCCGGACGACGTTTAAAGTTTAAATAAACTTCGCCCCTCTCCCCCGCTAATTAGCGTGTTCTTGCCCCGCGACACCGAAAAAGCGAAAAGTCGAGAATTAACAAATTAAATGGAGTGGTCGCGAAGCGAAAACCCGCTAATTAGCGAGGGCGCGGGGCGAAGTTTAATAAATAAAACGTCGTCCTGCGGGGGCACGGAGCGAGATTTAAGAAATAAATCCGCTTGGGTGCGGATAGAAAACACGTTAATTAGCGAGGGCGCGGGGCGAAGTTTATTAATAATAAAATTCGCCCCGTGCCCCCGCTAATAAGCGTGTTTTCGCTCCGCGCCCCGCCATTTTATTTCTTAAATCTGGACTTTTCGCTTGGCGGGGTCGCGGGGCGAAAACACGATAATTAGCGGGCACGCGGGGCACAATTTTATGATCCACGACACTGCAGTTTTATTTCTTAACTCGCTACGCGCCCCCGCGGGGCAAAGTTTTTTATTTAACTTCGCCACGCGCCCCGCAATTTAGCGACTTTTCGCTCCGCGCCCCCGCCATTTTAACTTGTTTATTCTCGATTTTTCGCTCGGCGGGGTCGCGGAGCCAACATACGAATGGCACAAATCAGCCACTCTATCAAACTCCTGAAGGGTCAACTTTTAAGAGCCCCTTGTTTTGTTTGAGATGCGACACTGTGTAAACGTTTTGTAGAGTAAATCACGTAAAATTTTGAATCATGGCCCATCTTGAAACTAGTAAAATGCCAATCTCCCTTTGGAATATGCATTACTACTGGTCGGCCTCATGGTACCGAACCTGGCCGCCTCTGGTGTGTTATTTCAATAAACGTGTCTCTGGTATATATCGATACATAGTGTAAAGCAGTATGTTACAGTGTTTTGTAATACATTTGGTTGTGTTTTATGTGTGTTGAAACAAAAACTTACTGACTAATTTAACAATTAGCGATGTTTTATTATTATTTTTTATTATCATTATTATTATTTTTATTATTATTATTATTATTTATTATAATTATTATCATGATTATTATTATTATTATTTGATATACAATAAGTGGTTACAAAGTATGCGTCGTGTATAAGATACTGTGATAAAATTATATCATATTGAACATTATTTGCCTTGCCAAATATTTAAGACACCTATGGATTTTAGAACATTGCAAGAGTTCATTAAATTGAACTTTTTTGTTACGATCCGGCTATTTGATTATGAAAAGATCTGTTTTATTGTTCAAAATTGTTTAAAATTATTACTTTTGTAGGCTGACATTGAATCGTAAAACCGATCTAGCAAGATGATATAATTCAAACTTTTTTCGATAAGTTAAAAGAATGGAGGTTTGAAGTTATCGACCTTAACCACATTAGAATTAATGGCTTGTCTAAGGTGGTGTAAAACTTGATGACACGTAAACAGGTATTATCTTTAAAACATGTGCGATTCGTCATAAAAGTAGGTACACAGTAATTACCTGGCGCTTCATTAACTTTCGTAAAGGATTGGATAATCAGTCATATCTAACAATATGTCGATATGTTAAGTTCACACGTCAGTGAGGTAAGGTGTAATGGTATAGATGCCGGGCTAACGCTCTGAAGGTCTTTGGCTCGATTCCTAACCAAAACCATGTCATGAAGATACATTTCTTTTTAATTACAAGAATTAATTCAAAATTTTCTTACTACATCTGGTTTTAGGATACCTATAGGGTACTTTTTTATACAATTGAATCTTAAAGAGAATCATGGCAATTTCCAAATTATAATTTAAAAAAGTGGCTGATTCAGGATCCGAACATACAAATAAACTTACGCGAAAGACCTTTGGGGGACTTTATATTTCGACCTTTTTAGTGTTTTTTCGGTTGAATGGTAAGTAAGCGAAATAATGTCAAAACAAAGAAATATAACATATTTCTCGTTGTGTTGCTCTTTCACGTTAACTAGGAGTTAAATAAAACACTAAAACCTGATTTTTTGAAGAAATTTAAACTTAAAGTCTGAAAACAATATATTAAAACCAATGAACAGTATCAGATTATGTAGATGAGTTCATTTTGCCTACTTATAGTTACTGTACGGATATATTCTAAAATAGATTTCTCAAGACATTGTGTTCCTTAGTACTTAGTAGTTTCTATATAATATTCATCCAGATCTATTGAATAAGATTATACATAAATAAATTAGTGAAAATTTGACTCAAGACTACTTTGGATAACTAGGAAAATACCAAACGACCCCTGTAATATGAAAACTTATTTCTTGTTGAAATTTTACAATACCCCTCTGGAGTAAAACCCTGAATCCACATATGCAATATTTGTCTTCTATAAACAGAAACTTCTGGTGACCAAAATGACAGTGTTGTTTAAGCTAGAGTAGAGCATCATACTACTAATCTTGAGATCATATGTTCGAATTTCACCTCTAGTAGGATTCTCTTATAGCTATGTTCCATTCTTGTTGAACTTACATATTGAGCGATATACACCCAAGTTTTATATTTTTCCCAATCTGTGTTGTTATCAAACGCCCGTGCGTTTTGTTTTTTGTTTGTCTTTTTTGGAAATTTCTCTTTATTTTTGATTGAGTTAGCTTTGAATAAACATTGTTATAATGATAATAAAGGCTTAAATAATGTTAAGAAAATGTCCAATTAATTAAAAACCCCTTTCCAGCAGAGTCAGTTAAAACTAAACATTTTTTTTACATTTATATAAAAATTATGTCTCGTCTGCGACTTGGCTTTTGTTGCACAACGGAAGAGTTGATATTCCTCGGTATATTATTTCTTAGCTAGTAACATTCATTTATTTATGAATCTTATATTCATTTTAAATTGTGAAGACTAATTTTGACCCTATTAATCAGATTTTTGCAGCGAACCATTGCCTACATTTATAAACTATACAGTAGTATTGAACTTTTGTGTATTTGACCGTGAAAAAGAACATTTACAAAATATATCGCTTTAGAAAAAGATTTCTACTGTCTTATTTTATTCAGTATAGAAATAAATTGCATATTTCTGCAAACAATAACATATATCATTTACTATTATACGTAGTATTATTTATACATACAACACATAGATAAATATACAACGAGAACAATGTATAGCGTAAGACACGTCATGTCCCAATCCTTTTATTTTCTAACGCGTTGGTGAGCTTCTGAAAACTGGTGACATGCTTTAAAGTGCGTTAAAAACTGTTAAAGACAATAATTTAAGATGTTGTCTTTGTATTATCGTCATACAGATCATTTTAAAGCACATTTCCTTGATTATATCTCAAGTTAAGTAATGCTGAAACAAAAAAAGAATAACTAAAACAAAAAACTTGTTACAAAAGGTAATACTTCCAATCTTGATTACAATAGAGACATCTGGTTTTGTTTTGTTTTTTCTGTTTAATAGTATATAAGTTTTAAGTAATTTAATACAGTGTTAAAGTTATACCTCTGGCAATTTCTCCTACATTCAATGCATGTACTTGATATTATTTTCATATATATAGATAAAGACAACAGTAGTACAATTAAATGACCCTACATCGTTTAGATATCCCATAAATCCCTGGTTATAGCACAGAGCTATATTTGACCTTCGACCAAGGACCAAGCCGGGCTTTCAATAACGTTCTCAACGTCAAAATATCAGCACAAATTTGAGATTTTTCTCTAATCAGAAACTGAGATTAAGATTTTTATCAGTTTGAGAACGTTATTGAAAGCCGGGTCTGAAATCTAGCCGAGGTCTGCAATCCATTCTGCTACGATTACTAATACAGACAAAAAATCTGAAGCAGTAGACAGGTGTGATTTCTGACAAAATACTTATTTTCCTAATACTAAATTTAACAAACATTATTCCAATTGAATATCCCACAAAACAACTGCAACCCTGCTATTATTGGTTATCAAATACTCACTGTCTCTTCGCCAACAGCTTTTATACAGGTAAATTATTCTACTTAAGTATCTTTGTTGAACATTTTGTATACAATGTACAATTCTTTACAACATCTCATCAAATTGAAAAGGCAATTAAAAGAAAGTGTTAGTATAACTTTGATTAATTGTCTAATTAGCACAAGTATTTTGTTTTATCAATATTATTATTGGTCATGCGCTATCCTACCAAGTAAATACATGTAATATATACTTAAA